GTGGATTGGCCGTGCTACATTGCCCCATAGTGTCCAGGGATGTGCAGATTAGGGTGGATTGGCTGTGCTAAATTGCCCCGTAGTGCCCAGGGATGTGCAGGTTAGGGTGGATTGGCCGTGCTAAATTGCCCCATAGTGTTCAGGGATGTGCAGGTTAGGGTTCATTGGCCATGGGAAATGCAGGGATAAGGTAAGGGGGTGGGTCTGGGTGGGATGGTCTTCGGAGGGTCGGTGTGGACTCGCTGGGCTGAATGGCCTGCTTCCACACTGTAGGGATTCTACGATTATTGTAAACAGCAAAAGAAAAGATTCAATCCTTACTCACAGCAATACCACTTACAACACTCAATGTTGGCAAACTGTCATTCTTATCTTCACTCTTCCATTTCTCACTCAACTGACAAGTGTTTCCTTTCAGAATACTTCTGCACATTCAACAGATGTTAACTATAGCCCCTCTCCCTGATACGCAGATGCAGGCTAACTCAGTGACTTTTCCAAATTTACTCAAAAGGAATAACTCAACAGATTTTCTGGTTTCAGTCCTGAGGAAGGGTCAGCAGATCTGAAACGTTCACTCTGTTTTCTCCTCCACAGATGCTGCCAGATCTGCTGAGCTTTTCCAGCAACTTTGTTTTCGTTCCAGATTTTCTGGTTACTTTGACTACTTTTAGACTGCTAAACATGGATCTTCCCTTCTGACCTCTGGTCACTCTTTCCATGTGTCAGAAAACCTCAACTTAGCAAACTCAGCAATAATTTCACCAGGTTGGGATTGTCATTATTCATATCATGTTTTTGGTTTGGAGCTGTGAAATGTCAGCTCAGAGCTAATGGTAACCTTTGAACTGTGAGCGGCAGCTTGCTTCTGTTTTAGAAAGAAAATGAGAACAAACTGACATTTGTTTGAGGCCGGGCCTAGAAGCTAATTACAGGTTAGTTCCTGTAGGTTCCAAGGATGCATTACACTCAAACAGATGGCAGGTGTTTGGGTACTAATTGGGTCCTCACAGGGAGTTACGGTGCCAATCAATCTAACAAGGGAAATGTTGCAGAAAAACAGAGAACAAGAAACCAAAGTTTGGACTGGTTTTGAACTGTGTGTTTTTGTCAGGAAGTATGTAGTTGCCAATGTTACAGGATTGCAGATTGCTCCCTGGTTATCCTCACATTATCAACTTATTGAAAGTTCGGAGAATAGAGTCTCAGTTATTAAAAAAAAACTGATATTCCTCGAGCCGAGTGAAAATAGTTTGCATTGATTGGTTGCATCTTGCTTGGCTTCTGATGCAATCTCATGTGCCTGTGATATTATGGATCGTGAAGACTGGTTAACTGAACTGGCCAGTTACAGCTCTTTTATTAATCTTTCAAGTTATCCCTTAGCTGTGTTTTCCCTGTCTCTCTTTGTGAGAGTTAAGGGCTTTAGCTCGCTTATTAATCTTTTAATTTATCCCTGAACTGTGTTTGTCTTTGTGTCAGCAGGGGCTAGAATCAAAGAAAAAGAAGATTGGGTTGAATCATAGACATTAATTAGGTCACTTTGTGTACAATTTTACACTGAAAAAGCCACTGTATTATTAATAAATGGCTAATTCTTTTGTTTAAACTATAAACTTGGTGTCTGATATCAGTTATTCACCAAGTCTGGGTACCGGTTATTCAAAAAATCTGGTTTGGAACCACTGGGATCAATTTTGAGGGTCACTGAATGTTTTAACTTTACTCTGTTGCATTTACAGGGATAGGGAGGCTCTGGTTTGGCTGTCTGTCTTGTCATAACACCAATCATTTAGCTTAAGTCACTTGATTTCTTGGAAATGCTGTTTTGACCCAGTGATAAAAAGAAACAAGTCACCTTCGCAGAACTGGAAACTAAAAGTCCACTTAATTTAACTTTAGAAATCAGGTTCCTGAATAATGTCATAAACCTTCATACAATATGATAGGCGCAATTTCTTGCCATGAGTTTCAGAAGCCAGCTGCAACAAATAATAATTAATAGACCATACATCATCAGCTTCACTGACTGCATTTCAATGGATTTGTACCACTGTTTACATACAGACTTCTCTGGTTTATTACAAAGGGCAAGTAAAAATATTAAACTGTTCATCCGCCCACCTCCACTCATTCTCTTGCACATTTTCAACTCTCTACATGCTAATAACATTATTCTAATTACTACAGGATGCTGCAGTCAAGTTAAAAAGACATTCTGCCAATCAGATAAATGAGTAATGTGGTACACGAATTTCAGTGCCAGTGTAATGCCAGGTCTGAAGACTGTGTAATCCTGCATGTCCCTTCAGCAGTTTGCAACAAGGAAGGTACTGTCCATATCCGACCAGCCTGACTCACAACACAGTTTCTAACATTAGATGTGATTCTGCATTTGGACATTTGTTGGATAATCTTGAATCTGCAAGGTGTTACACTGACAACCAATTTGGGATTGTCAGTCAGGCTGCCAGTTACGTGCATTGTAAACTGTAATATATTCTGGAACCGGAAGTCAGTGCTGTGATTGGTATCAATGCCAATTATTATGCGCAGGATTCTGGAGCAGCTGTACATAACACAGGGAGGCAGTAACCCTGCTTCCAGTCAGACCCCTGTGCCTTCACATGAAAATTGTATGTGCATTTACTCTGGCCTTGGGAACGTGACGTAGGGAAAGGGCTCGACCCACAACTCACAAGCCAATGATAAAACTCCAGCCTAATGTCTTGATTGTGTCTTCCTCCCCTCACAGACCCTGAGCTTGCTCTTCTGGTCTGCTCCCTTCTGCAAGATGCATCTGTTGAAGCTCCCCCTCACCACTATGTCCAGTATCAGAGTGACACGTTCTTGTATCCACCCCTTCAGCTGTTGTATGTTTGTTCATCAGGTCTTCCTCTGCCAACTCCTGGTGCCCAAGTCATGCCAGGAGTCTGGCACCCCTTTTCATATACAACCACTGAATCCCTACAGGGTGGAAGCAGGCCATCCCGAGTAGGGCAAAGGAACTCTAGACTGATAGGGAAATCAAAAGTCGAGGCATTACACCCTCCTGTTTCACACGAAGCCCAAACATTGAGTTTCCTAATTCACTGCCCCAGCCCTTCAACACTGCTGCTGCGGACCTGGGTTTGACTCTAGTCTCAGGCGGCTGTCTGTGTGGAGTTTGCACATTCTCCCCGTGTCTGCGTGGGTTTCCTCCGGGTGTTCCCGTTTCCTCCCACAGTCCAAAGATGTGTAGGTTAGGGTGGAATGGCTATGCTAAATTACCCCATAGCGTCCAGGGATGTGCAGGTTAGGGTGGATTGGCCGTGCTAATTTGTCCCATAGTGCCCAGGGATGTGCAGGTTAGGGTGGATTGGCCGTGCTAAGTTGCCCCATAGTGTCCAAGGATGTGTACGTTAGGGTGGATTGGCCGTGCTAAATTGCCCCATAGTGTCCAAGGATGTGTACGTTAGGGTGGATTGGCCGTGCTAAATTGTCCCATAGTGTCCAGGGATGTGCAGGTTAGGGTGGATTGGCCGTGCTAAATTGTCCCATAGTGTCCAGGGATGTGCAGGTTAGGGTGGATTGGCTGTGCTAAATTGCCCCATAGTGCCCAGGGATGTGCAGGTTCGGGTGGATTAGCCGTGCTAAATTGCCCCATAGTGCCCAGGGATGTGCAGATTGGGGTGGGTTGGCCGTGGGGTGCTTATAGATGGGATGCTCTTTGGAGGGTTAGTGTAACTCAATGGGCCGAGTGGCCTGCTTGCTCACTGTAGGGATTATATGACCATTCTATTTGTAAATGATTTTTCATGAATGTATTTCCCACTGCTCGATTCAGGATTAATAAGTCATTCGGAACTCTCTCCTGGAAACTTCTCCAAAAACCCTAGTGGTAAAGGCAGTGCGGAGATGAACCGTGCAAATCAGGAAGATCTCCGGTTTAATCTTAGTGTAACTGGGGTAAAAGATACTGGAACTCTCTGAACTAGTGAAAATATCATTACATTTTAACATGTTTGCAACCAAACACAGCGATATCAAATTAGGTACTCCTGTGAAGCAACAGGAAAGAGCTAAAGAAATTCAATTTGTTGCTGATACAGAAGAGAAGGCACTGGTGGAAGTCAGTGTTTGAGAAATGTGACTGACCTCAGCAGCTTAGCTTCCATTTGCCAGAAACGTGGGCACCCTTTAAGATTTAGAATACGGTAGGCAGTGCTGGTGGGAAGACTTTACTTCCCCCTCAGACCCTGCTCTATGTGATCCAGCACTCACTTCCGTACAGCTACATGTTCTGGAGGCATGTACAACAGACCTGCATCTTGCTACTCAAGGCCAGTTTCCTGCTGTAACGCAGGCAAACGAGGCTAGTTCGGTTCAGGAAAGCTGGTCAACACGGGTGGGTTGGGCCGAAGGGTCTGTTTCTACGCTGTATGACTAAGACTAAGTGGCTCTCCTAACAATTTATAGAGATCCCTCATCAGCACAAAGTCCTCTGTGTCCACTCATCGTAGTCTTTAAAAGGAATAGAATCAACTTCAAACCCACACATTGACAACTCCGATAATTTAATCATGTCCACTTCCATCTTGACTAGTTTGCCTGAGCTTGCATGGCATGTTTTTTTTTAAATGATATCTGCTCACAGCGTGGGAATGTCGCATCCATAATTGTACTTGAGAAGGTCTTGATGTGCTGTCCTCTTCAACCGACCAAATAGTAGTGCTGCTGAGAATTCTGATCCAGCAACAGTACAGTTTAAAATCAGGGTGGAGTACGGCTTGGATGGGTGCAGGTGAAGGCCACTGAACAATCTCAATGATTAGTTTACCAGTAGGTTCCTTTCGGAGTAAAAGAAAATGACATTCTTGGGGAGGTGACTGAAACAATCAATTTAATGGACTGCTCTGCATTTTATCACAACCTGTAAGTCGCAATGGTTTAGGTAGTTTGTTTCTTTAAACAAAGGCTCCTCCTAGTGAACAGAATCACACTTTTGGACACAGCTGGCGAATACAGTGACAGACTCAGAACCCTTTCTCCATCAGCCACGATTTCAGTTCTTTGTCAAAATACCCCTTGACCCGGATGTGCATCGAGACCTCATTAACTTGCGTAGGGGGAGTCTTGCCCGTGATCTGTTCGAGGAATTCTTTCACATCCTTCTCGAGCATCTGAAGGAGGCAAAAGAGCACCAGGGGTTAAAAATGAAGATTCCCAACCCACCGAGCTGTGCACCGAGAGGATAGCGACAATAAACTCTTCAAAAAACAATGGACAATCCGTCAAAATAGTTTTGAATGGGTAGGCCAGGCTCAGTTAGGTTATTCCAATTTGAGTATTATTAAAGAAACTGTGTTAGGTGGGAGCTTCTTGTAATTAGCAAGTCCTCTGCCAACATTTACCAATTAACTGCAATGCCATCTGTCACAAGCAGCAAGCGACTCTGTGGCTTTGTCAAGCAAGTTTCTGAAAACTTGCTCTGCTGCTACCTCGATTTTTATAGTGTATATATTTCTATTTCTCTCTTTCAAGAAATAATAACTAATTTATCTACAGCCAGCGACCAATATAGTGTTCGATTTGCCAACTGAATTAATAGAATCATAGAGGTTTACAGCACTGAAACAGGCCCTTCAGCCCAACTTGCCCATGCTGCCCAGTTTTCACAATTAGTCTCGTCCCATTTGCCTGTGTTTGGTCCATGTGCCTCCATACCTATCCCATCCATGTACCTGCCAAATTGTTTCTTAAATGACAAAATTGCACTCGCTTCCACCACTACCTCTGGCAGCCCCGTTACAGACACTCACCACGCTCTGTGTGAAAAGAATTACCCTTTTGTACCTCTCCCCTCTCTCCTTAAACCTATGCCCTCTAGTTTCAGACTCCCCTACCCTGGGGAAAAACTGTTGGCTGTCTGCCTTATCTATACTTCTCATGATTTTTTATAGACCTCTATTAGGTCACCTCTCAGCCTCCTACGCTCCAGGGAAAGAAGTCCCAGCCTATCCAACCTCTTCTGATAACTCAAACTTTCCAGACCAGATAGTATCCTAGTAAATCTTTGCTGCACTGTTTCCAGTTTAATAATATGCTTTCAAGAGCAGGGCAACCAGAACACGGTACTCCAAGTGTGGCCTCACCAATGTTTTGTACAGCTGCAACAAGACATCCCAACTCCAATAATCAATGCTGTGACCTATGAAAGCTAGCACGCCAAAAACCTTCTTCATCGCCCTGTGACTCCACTTTCAAGGAGCTATGTACCTAAATCTCTTTGATCAGTAACACTCGAGAAAGAAAACAAAGCCTGAGTGACGAAACGTGGGGAATTCTGCAGATGGATGCCTCTCAAGTATACAAGACGTAACTGGTGATGAGCACCAAAGATCTATATCACAACTTACTTTCTTCACGTGCATGTGCCATTTGGCTAGGGGCGTAAAGGGAATGATCGCAAGGTGTGCAGACAAAACCAAATTGTGGGTCAGCAAACGTCAAGTAAGCCTGCAAAAGGTTGATGCAAAGGATAAATGGGCACTAAGTGCAGTTCAATGTAAACCCAAGGGAAGGAATATCTCAAATGGTAAAATTCTCAATAAAACGTAAGAATGGAAATGCAGGATCACGAATTCTTAGAAGCAGGGCTGCAGACAAAAATGATTGAGAACACAACAAAGAACAACAGTGGGTAATATTTAGAGCAATGTTGAGTGCTAATACCAAGATATGAGAGTGAACCTAATTAAAACGTTCAGTCACAATTACAATATTATGTTTTCATCAACAGATTTCTACATATTCAAAACATCAAAAGATACAATAATATTGCAGGAAAATGCTGTTGAAGTTAACGCTAAGCCATGACCCCAATAAATGGCACAGCAGATTCAACGGTCTACTGTGGAACCATTTCTTATTTTCTTCCTGATTTGGCTGGTACGACTGATATTCTATGTCTTAGTTGACAAAACCCAAAAAAACTACAGATAATGCCCAACACTCGCCACAGCCTTTATATTTGGTTATTTGTAGGCTTTCCTCTCCTCTAAATAGAAACATAGAAGCTAGGAGTAGAAGGAGGCCATTCGGCCCTTCGAGCCTGCTCCGCCATTCTACACGATCATGGCTGACCGTCCAACTCAATAGCCTAATCCAGCTTTCTCCCCATAACCTTTGATCCCATTCCCCCCCAAAGTGCCTTATCCAGTCGCCTCTGGAATACATTCAATATTTTGGCATCAACCACTTCCTGCGGTAATGAATTCCACAGGCTCACCACTCTTTGGGTGAAGAAATGTCTCCTCATCTCCGTCCTAAATGGCCTACCCCAAATCCTCAGACTGTGACCCCTGGTTCTGGACACACCCACCATCAGGAACATCCTCCCTGCATCTACCCTGTCCAGTCCTGTTGGAATTTTATAAATCCCTATGAGATCGCCCTCATTTGTCTGAACTCCAGCAAAAACAATCCCAACTGAGTCAATCTCTCCTCATGTGTTAGTCCTGCCATCCCGGGAATCAGCCTGGTAAGCCTTTGCAGCACTCCCTCGAGAACAAGAGCATCCTTCCTCAGAAAAGGAGACCAAAACTGCACACAATATTCCAGGTGTGGTCTCACTAAGGTTCTGTATAATTGCAACAACACATCCCTGCTCCTATACTCAAAACCTCTCGCAATGAAGGCCAACATACCACTTGCCTTCTTTACCACCTGCTGCACCTACATGCTAACCTTCAGCAACTGGTGCACAAGGACACCCAGGTCCCGCTGCACACTCCCCTCTCCCAATTTACAGCCATTCAGGTAGTAATCTGCCTTCTTGTTTTTACTTCCAAAGTGAATAACCTCACATTTATCCAAATTATACTGCATCTGCCATTAATTTGCCCACTCACCCAATCTGTCGAGATCATGCTGAAGGATCTCTGGCATCCTCGTCACAGCTCACCCTCCCACCTAACTTGGTATCATCTGCAAACTTTGAGATGTTACAATTTGTTCCCTCATCCAAATCATTAATATATATTGCAAATGGCTGGGGTCCCAGCACAAATCTCTGTGGCACCCCACTAGTTACTACCTGCGAATTTGAAAAAGACCCATTCATTCCTACTCTTTGTTTTCTCTTTACGAACCAGTTTTCGATCCATCTCAATACACTCCCCCAATCCCATCCATTAATCTATTATGCGAGACTTTTGACAAACACTTTCTGAAAGTCCAAATATACCACATTGACTGGCTCCTCCTTGTCAACTCTACTAGACTTTTTTTTTATATATTGAATCCCCACAGCATGGAAACAGGCCATTCAGCCCAACAAGTCCAGACTAAACCTCCAAAGAGCATCCCACCCAGACCCATCTGCACACTATGGGGCAATTTTAGCATGACCAATCCACCCTAACCTGCACATCCCTGGGCACTATGGGACAATTTAGCACGGCCAATCCACCCTAACCTGCACATCCCTGGGCACTATGGGGTAATTTTAGCATGACCAATCCACCCTAACCTGCACATCCCTGGGCACTATGGGGCAATTTAGCACGGCCAATCCACC